CCGATCGAAATAACCGAAAAACTGAAATTGAAATTCAAAAAAAATCGGTTCGGTCATTTTTTTCGGTTTTAACCATATTATGCCCAACCCTACTTGTTTTTAAAAGACCCTTAGCTCTAGTGCAACAAATCCTGGTATACTGCTGAAGGAGTCAATTAAGAAAATATAGCAAATGACAAGGAAACAATGGAAAAGTCTACCCGAGAGGAGCCAAAATAAAATGAAATTATGTGTAATCGAAACACTATAAACTACATACTAGGATTGATTAATAAAGAGAAAAGACATAAAGTCAACACTTAAGTTGTCCGGAATTTTCAAAAAGACATCTTAACTTTGTAACCGTCCTATTACCCCACTAAACTATTTTGAATGAATATAATTATATCATTTTTTGTCCACCTGACATAGAGAGTGGTGTGCACTCTCTCAAAGAGAGTAAACAACCTATAATAAATAATATAATTTTATTTTTTTTAAGTACTTTATTATAAAATATATTTTTCTTGTTATTTTAATTTTTTTTTACTTTTTATTTTTTCTTTCTCTTTTCTTCTTTCTTCTTTCTTCTTCAAAAATCCATTCTCATGTCCATCCATTAAAGCTTACCACAACTTCACCTTTCTTTTTTATTACTATTAATTTTACTCTCTTTAATTTTAAAATTTTATCTAAATATTTTCTTAAATTTCGAACAATTTGATAAACTCATTAGATTTCATGATGATCAGGAAGTATCATATAATTTCTTTTTATCCGATTTCAATTAAGTTTTTCACTTCGGGAATTAATTGATTCTTTTAAAATTATCATTTCTAATTTTGAATCTTGTATGAAAATGAGTAGTTTATGATACCTTCTAAATTTTCTTAGAAAAATAATTAATTTTGCTATTAATAATTCAATAAAGTTTAAAAAAATAATATGAATTCTATAAAGAATTTGACCAGAAGAAGAAAAACAAAATAAAAAATGGGAGTAGGGTTCAATTTGACATGGGGTGTAGAAGGTGAAGAAAAAAAGATAGTAGAGGAATGAATCACTTGAAAGTGGGAGGTGGGAGATGAAGTGAAATTTAAGATAAATCAAAATTAAAAGTCAAAAAGTAAGAGAGAGAGAGAAATAAAGTTTTAAAAAAAAGATAAAGGAAAAACTTAAGATAAAAAAATAAATTTTAAATTAAATTAACATGTGTCATGTAATGATTGGTGTGTGAAACACTTGCTTCTTAAAACTTGGGGCTGATCGAAAAATGGTATAATAATATATTTTCAAAATTGTTTAGTGGTGTAATAGGACAGTTGCAAAGTTAAAGTGTCTTTTTGCAAATCCTAGATAACATGAGTGGTGATTTTCTGTCTTTTCTCATTAATGAATAAAATCTACAATATTAAACTATGATAAAACTACCGTAATACCACTAGTACCATCGCCAATACCCGTAGCCTAAGCAAGACGTCGCTACACTACCTTCTACCCTAATATGTGCCCTCCACACCCTCCTATCTAGGGTCATATCTCTTGATAGCTGAAGCTGCGTCATATCATGTCTTATCACCTCTCTCCAATACTTATTCGGGCTACCTGTGCCTCTCTTCATTCCCTCTATAACCAACCTCTCGCACATCCTCACCTTGGTGTCTATACATCTCTTCACATATCCAAACCATCTTAATTTCATTTCCCTCATCTTGGCCATTATGAAGGCCATTCCCACCTTATGTCTGATTTCTTCATTTCTAATCTTATTGCTCCTAGTATGACCTCACATCTACCTCAACATACACATCTCCGTAACATGCATCTTTGAACTTGAGAGTTTTTGACTAGCAAACACTCAGCCCCATACAACAATGTCAGTCAAACCACCACTATAGAAAAATATTTGAGTTTTGATGGTACCTCTTTATAACACAAGACCTCGGAGGCAAGACTCCAGCTCATTCATGCTGCACCAGTACAATGTGTGATATCACCATTGATGTCCCCACCCTCCCGAACTATAGACCCAAGACACTTGATTGTATCCCTCTTGTACATTTTGTGTGTCAAGCCTCATTTCCAAACCTACCTCATACGTCACCTCAATTAATTTGCACTCCACATATTCAGTCATGGTCCGATTCCACCTAAACTCTTTAGCCTCCCAACAGTTGATTCAACATTTGACCTTGAGGCCCGATCCCGAATATCCGACTTGAGGTCCGATACCAAAACTAGGATCCAATTTTCAAAATAGGATTCAATATCTAACGCAAGATCCATCCATGTTACCCAACTCAAGACCCGACATTAAACTCGAGACTTGGCCAAAGACCTGCCTTTTGGAATTCGGACATGACCCCAACACTCGACCTCGATTCCTAATCCAATGCTCAATCATGACACTCAATTAGAGATGTGAATTTTGGATCAGAATCCGACTTAGACACCCGACCTAAGACTCAAATTCCTCAACGAGAGCCAATCTCGACACACAACTTGAGACTCAAACTTACCCTATTTTGACACTCAACCCCGACTCTCGATCCAAGACTCGACTCCCAAATCAGGACATGACCCCAACACTTACCCCGATGACTGCTACAGGTGCTGATCCTGACATACGATTGAGATTCACCTTTGATAGTTGACCCTATCTCGACACCTAACTTTGGATTAGGATTCTAGACTAGGCCAACCTTAGATAACCTCGACACCCAACATGAGACCTAACCTCAAGACTCGACTTGAGACCTAACTCGACTCTTGAACCAATATCCAACTTTGAAATCGAGTCTTGGCCCCAACATTCAATCTAGCATTTGACCTTGAATCTTCACTGAAGACCCAACACCAAACACATGATCCAATCCTAACTTGATCGTACCTAGGACTCGGGATGTGGGCCTCGCATTGAGGTTAGGAGACATGAATTAAGTCCTAAAATGAGAAATTCAGGTGTGTGCTTTGAAAAGAGTTCTGAAAAATGTTTTTCTTACTTTTTGGAGGTAAGTCATTTTCTTTAAATTTGAGGAAAATAAGTTAATTTAGAAAATATTTGTAGAAACTCTTAAAAAACCCAACCAAACACACTGTTTGTAACAGTTTAATTTGAAAATACTCATTTTATCCTTAAAGAAATGATTTATAGCCAGACAAACATCTATCACTGACCACAAGTTTAAAGTCTTTGTTTCTTAAACTCCGTGCCAAGTCAAAGGGAGTATCCTTTTTGTTCTACTTCCTGGGTCTCAATTTATATGATGGTGTTTGACTAAGCATGCCGATGGTTTATCAACATCTCTAACCCACAAATGTAGGGGTAAGGTTTGTGTACACCCCGCACTCCCCAAACTCCAGTTGTAAGATTATATAGAGTATGTAGTTGTATTTGTTTGATTGAACATAGAGTTTAAAAAAATAACATACTTAGTGTGATTTTACAAGTGGGGTCTAGGGAGGGTAACATCATATATATAGAGGTTATTTCCAGTAGACCTCCGATTTAAAAAAAGTTTGCCAACCAGTTTGAGAAAGGGAATACAAATATGAGAGCAATAACAAAAATAAAATAGTGCGAAAAGGGAAGTAGTAGTACTACACGACGAAAAGGAGGAAGAACAATAACTACAATTGAAAGAAGTATGCTATGTTTTTCGACGCATACTAAAAAGAAAAAGTATGATACATAAATTGGAAGAGAGGTAGTATGATTTCTGAAAATAAATAATTGTCTCCTCTCTAATTTTATACATTACGTTAGTTTTATTAAAGATGGAAAATTCAAAAAAACTCTTAAGGTTTGTTGGGCTTTAGATGAAAAGCGCAAATAAAACGTGACCTTTAATGAAAAAAGGTGTAAATTAATTTTTTTTACAATACATGATGTCCAAAGACTAGTAATTATAAGTATGAATAACAATATGTAGGATAGAATTGATAAATAGTTATGATAATATGAAATATCAATTACTTAGTGTTGCCTTCTTAGGATTACATTCATTGGCGAGAAAAAAGTATGTCTTAGAGCCTTGATGATAACACTGAAGTGCCAACCCAAGCTAATCGGAACACTCGACATGTTGCGCACCTTTGATAGTGACAACACTTCATTACGTTTTGATGCAGACTGGTGTGATTACTCTCTGCTAGGAAAATTCTTTAGTCACCCAAATTGATAGGATAAATCAGGGAGTTGAATTAGAGCCCATTTGGATTGGCTTAAAAATAATTGATTTCAAGTCAAAAATAAAAAAGTCAAACTTAAAGACTTTTGAGTCAAAAAATTAAAGTAGGGGGAGACCTACTTTTGGTTTTTGTCTTATATAATGTCATTTTAAACTTATTTCAAGTTATTTTTGATCTAATCATATACTTCCTAACTTATTTTAACCAGTGTTACAAAAGGCGAGCGCCTCCTCGCCATTGGCGAGAGGCGATGCTTCCTCGCCATTCTCCATTGCGGCGAGGCGAGATCAAAATGGCGATGTGTAGCGACGTATGGCGACAGCAAAGGCGCCACCTTTTTAATTTAAAAAATTTGAAAATATTTGACTTAATAATATTAGTCAAAATTAGGTTTTTTTTATACTTTTGAAATTGCTGCTTTCTCCCTCGCGATTGACTTCTTCTCAGCTTTTCCATCGCGACTCTCTTCTCCCTCACTGCCTTCTCTCTCGCGGCAGACTTCTCAAGTTCTCCCTCGCTCTTTTCTCAGTCGCGACAGACTTCTCCAGTTCTCCCTCGCGATTCTGTTCTCCAGTTCTCCCTCGCGACTGTCTTCTCAGTTGTCCCCTTGCGACTCTCTGCTGCTGCGGCCTGCGAGGTATATCGTTTTTCTCTGTTCTTCTTCTTCAATTTTTTCCTGTTCTTCAAAAAAAAAATTCAGTTCTGTTTTTCTCGTCTAAGCAGTGCTTACTGCTTTGTGTGATTTTTTTTTAAAATTATAGGCAGTCAATTAAAAAAAAAATCTTTCCAGTTTCCTAATTATTTATTCCAATATTCCTAAACAGTGAATTAATTGAATTCAATAACCAATGGCGGATGCTAGCAAAAAGAGGGACATTGGATGAAATTATGACACTCAAGGAGCGACGAAAGATTCGGTTAATTGTAACTTTTGTGGGAGTACTTTTAATGGTGGAATAATTCGACACAAACAACATTTAGTGGGTGATTTCCAGAATGTTAAACAATGTGCCGCTTGTCCGTCGGAGATTAGAGAAGAAATAAGGGCTTATATGCAAAACAAAATCGCTAATAATCCCAAATGTTAAGTGAGGTAGCCGGAAGAATATATTGATGTTGATGATCTTGATGAAATGGATGATTATGAGGAAATGATGCCTCCCTCCAAAACTCAAAAGATATCTTCTAGTGGAGGTTCATCCACCGCACGGAATGTGACGAAAGGACCTTTGAACCTTTATTTTTAACAAAAATCAACACAAAAAGGAGGCTTTGAAAAAGGAGGAGGAATTGATGAAACAAAGAAAATTCTAAGAGTGTGCAGTAAGTGCTTTTGCAATTTGGATGTATGATGCCGGGCTCCCTTTTAATTGCGTCAATCTTAAATCGTTCGATAAATTTATTGAGGCGGTTGGACAACATGGCCCCGAAATGAAGCCTCCTACATTCCATGAAGTTAGAGTCACTCATCTTAAAAAAGAGGTGGATAAAATAGAAAAAATTGTTGATGAGCATAAAGTGCAATGAACAAAGTTTGGATGTTCCATTATTATGGACAAATGGACGGCACGAAATGGCAAAATGATCATCAATATTTTGGTGAATTCTCCAATCGGTAGTGTATTTCTTGGTTCTGTTGATGCTAGCAATGGATCTAAGGATAACACAAAAATGTAGAAGTTATTTGAAAGCACTATCGAGAGAATTGGACCGGAAAATGTTGTACAAATTGTCACCGATAATGCTAGTGAGAATGTCACAGCCGGAAGTATGATGATGGGTGCGTACCCACACATTTATTGGACTCCATGTGCCGCTCATTGCATCAACTTAATATTTTGTGACATATTCAAGGTTAAGCCATATGCTTCCGGTAATCAACCTATCCTTTACCTTTCTTTATAGTCAATAATTCATTAGCTACTAATTAATATAATTAATCTTTCTGTAACAGTTTTCAAGAAGGCCATCAGAATCCATTCTTACATTAGTCAAAGACCATTGTTGTTAAACTTGATGAGAAAATTCACCAAAGAAAGAAATTTGGTGAAACAGGCCAAGACAAGATTTGCAACGACATTCTTAACTTTGAGAGTTATGTACATACAAAGAAAAAACTTGAGAACTTTAGTCCTCTCAACCGAATGGAATTCAAGTAAATTTGCAAAGGAAGTTTTGAGGAAAGAAGTTGCCAATCTTATTATTCCTGTCCAGTTTTGGAATGATGTTGTTCGGAAACTTACAGTTTTGTGGCCCTTTGACAAAAGTGCTTCGTTTGGTGGATGGGGAGAAAAAACTACCATTGGTTATATTTATGAAGCAATGGATAGAGCCAAAGAAGCTATTGCACATGGTTTTCGTGGAGTTAAGAAGCAATATGAGAAAGTGTATGAAATTATTGATGCAAGGTGGTCAGAACAACTCCATCGGCCTTTGCATGCTGGGGGCCATGTTTTGAACCCAGTATTATATTATAAAGCTCAACAAGAGGGAACTTTAGCAAAGTCTCTGTGGACCGAGTATATTGCATGTGTTGAGAAGTTGGTCCATGATACAACAATACCAGATGCACTAGTCGCTGAGCTTCCTAAGTACAAAATGGCGGATGGACTATTTGGTTGTGGTCCGGCTAAAAATGCTAGAGACACAAGGTCACCGGGTAAGTGGTTTGATTTGACTGATTTATAGTCACTAACCTTTAAATTTATTTTATTATAGTTGAATGTTGGTCACTATTTGATAGTGAAACACCAAACTTGCAAGAGTTTGCCATGAAAGTATTAAGCCTAACTTGTAGCTCATTCGGATGTGAGCAAAATTGGAGTTTGTTTGAACATGTAAGTAAAAATTTATATCCTAATTTTCACATTATATTATTATCAATATCAACTAGTTAATATCAATAACTTATGCACAGATTCATTCCAAAAAGAGGAATAGGCTTACACTATGGCATCTCAAATGATCTAGTGTACATTACAATAGAACATTGAAACGTCGTTATGATGCTCGTGATCTTATTGATCCAATTCGCTTGGATAACATAGATGATTCAAATGAACGGTTAGTTAGATGCCTCGAAGATCAAGATGATGAACTAGTATATGAGGATGATGATCTTTGTTGCTGCGACAAATGGAGCGGACGAGAGTATCTATCATCTTAGCGGACTTTCTTCAAGATCAAGAGCACTTGACAAGGGCAAAGGAGTAGAAAGTACATCTACAAGTTCATCTTCAAGTAGGACTCAGACACTAATTGATGAATAATATGAGGAGGAAGAAGATTAAGAGCAATATAATGATGTAGAGGATTTTGATCTTCAAGAGTTGGATAATTTTGAAGAAGAATAGACTTTTAAAGTTTTAGTTTATTGTATTTTGAATTGTTTGATCTTTAAAGTTTTAGACATTTTAGTATCTACGATTGGTTTTTGAATTGAATATTTGCTAATATGTGTTATTGCTATTAAGATTTTGGATAAAATATACAATTAAATATTTTTAATTTTTGGTATTAATTGACGCCTTGATTAAAAAAGGCAAGCGCCTCGCCGCCTGGCGAGACAGACCCTTTTCGCCTTTTGTCGCCTCTCGCCGTCCACAACACTGATTTTAACTCATTTTTTACTTATTTGAAGTTATTTTAATCTTGTCAAATACTTCATAACTTATTTTAAGTCATTTTTGACTTAGTTGAAGTTATTTTTATATTTGCCACAGAGTTCCAGAAGTCAAAAACTGACATAAAAGTAGGTTTGGCCAATTTTTAAGTCAATCGAAACACCTTCTCAGCAATCCTGCTCCTACTGTCCAGTTTCCGGTAATATTTCGGGTTTCCATATGGGCCTGAAATTCCTATCGTAAGTTTCGATTATTGATCTTTACCACCACCCAGTATTGATCTACCCAGCACTTTGGAATGTTTAGTGTCTTTTGTCAAATTGTGGTACAAGATGTCATCTACGCTTTTGTTTCACGTCATAACTAAGAACTATCTCGGCTGATCGACAAAACTGAAGTATTTGAACAATATAATGTAGATGTCTAGTTCTCCAAGTATTCTGCTGTAAGTAGTCATGCAAACTGAAATACGAAAGGCTATATATTGCTTTGACAATGGAATTGCAAGCACGGTGACTCTAGAGTTTCTTTAATTGTCTGAGATCACTGTGTGCAGATTCTAGTTCATATAATAATATCAACTTCACTTTGTTGTTTTATCCTTTCTTTTTTCCTTTTCAAAAAGCATGTGTGGATGATCTTGCATGTGTTTGTTCCTCCCTTTTTGAATCTTTTTTACAAGTGCCATGTTCAAATTTTTCTACCATCGGTTTCTTCTGCTATTAAAATTTCAAACCAGTACCAGCTGTACAATATGTAATGCATGTTTAGCATTGCTAGATTGAATATCTTCATTTGAAAGCTGCCGTAATGTACACTAGAAGATGAAAATCTGGAATTTTCATGAAAATTAAACTGATGTTACAGTGCAATTGGTGCATTTTCCCTTTTACTTCCATTTTCTGCCAGGTACATGCTTACCACCATCTCCTGATCAGATTCACATGAGTTGCAATTTATTTCTAAAAGATGTAACCTTCATGGGATTGCAGATATAGCTTTCGTGGATCGTGCTGACATTAAGGCTTATGTTGGACCACCTACGCTTCAAGCACGTTATGAGATACTCCGATCATGCTTGCAAGAGCTATTGCGTACTGGAATTTTGTCAAATTCGCAGGTACTACTTGTTGGTCTTTGGTTAGCAATTCTTTACAAATGACTGGAGTATATGCAGGATGGAGGTTGCCTTGTTCTTCCAAGTTATGCTAGTTTGAAGGAGAAGATGAGTGAAGTAGTTTCAACTGAGTCTCAAATGTTTCCACATCTTGGTAAACAATTGCTTGAAGCTGCAGAGGCCTGTGAGGTAAAGATTTGCCCTTTATTTCCAGTCAAGTAAATGCAGCAGCATATAATTGTGATGAACGAATATGTGTATCTTTCAGGGTATGAGTGGAAGATCACTTAGAAAGCTACCATTCTTGGCACATGCTGCACTTGCTAATCCTTACAGTTGTGAACCTGGCAAATTTTTGCATGTAATGATGCAAACAGCTAAAAGAGAGCGTTCAGAGCTGTCTGAGTGATTTTTTCCCCATTAATTGTTAAAAATCCTGCTTCTGTTAGCAAGCTCAACTATAAAGCAAACGGGGAGAGAAATTATCATATGCATAGTTACTTGAGCCAGAAAGAAAGAAGCTCTTTGGGGAGGAGAGTTGAGAGGTTTTTGGGCAATGTGATATATTTGAAAGTTAATGTATTCTTGCTTGTTGTAACATCCATTGAGCTACGAGCTGCATCTGCATATATAAAACTTTAGCTGATTAATGGCATATATATATATATCGTATCCCCATCAGATATTGATTGAACAAGTCAGTCATCGTGGGTCGAATTAACTTTCGTTTACCAAGCAGGGTTGACGCTCTGATTATGTCAGCCATTGAGCATTAATGAAGTTGATAATAGACCCCACCCCGTTTTATTTTGGCATCACAAATTGTTGCAAATGATGTCAATATTATATTCTATCTATATAGAAAATTAGGGTTATTAACTGAGTTTGAGTTTAAGAAATTTGCTTAATCGTGTCTGATACAATCGCACTCAATCACCACGATAGAACTTAGTCTAGGACTTGAAAGCTCGAAAAAGATGGAACTATTACAGGATATAATCGAGATATAAATTAAGATGTAAAGAAAGAGAGAAAAAGAGATTGATATATTTCATGAATACTTGAACCAGTAAATATGCCATGCATTTATACAACTCATCAATGAGTGAAATGAATTATAGATGAATACCCAACTAACTAACTACTTCCGTGACATTGACCAACTTCTTGACAATGAACGATGTTAATTGTCTACCAGTTCTAGCAGATTTCTTGCGACTTCATATACTTGCATCAATACCGTTTGTTTGAAGAATAGCCTTGTCCTCGAGGCTGGAATGAAGGAAATCGATGCTGCAACTTTGTGAAGGTTTCCCATGTGACTTGAGCTTCATTAATGCCCATCCATTTAACCAACACATTAGAAACAACCTTATTGCATATCTTAATCATTCTCCTTTCTAATATAGCCTCAGGCAATAGACAGTAAGGACTAGACACGTAACACTGGGGGTGGGGGGGGGTGGGTGAGGACAACAAGTACTTCATGACATTTTTGAGTTGTGAAACATGGAAAGTAGGACGGATCAATACATATGCTGACAATAAAAGCTTATAAGCAACTTCTCCAATCTTAGCACCAATCATGTAGGGACCAAAGTACTTAGCAGCTAGCTTGTTAAAGGGTCGAGAGGCCATAAAAAACTATTTGTAAGGCTGAAGCTTTAGATAGACCCAATCCCCTACACTAATAAGCTTGTCAGACTGGTGCTTATTCGCCATATATCTCATTCTTTGTTGAGCCCTGGACAATTGGAACTTGAGCAATGCAATAATAGTTTCCCTTTCCTCCAAAGATCTATCAACCATCTTATTAGAGGACTCACAAGCCAAATAGGGAAGATGAATATTTGGTTTTTGACCATAAAAAGCTTCTAAAGGGGAACACTTGAGAGGTGAGTGATAGGTTGTGTTGTACCACCACTCATCAAGAGGTAAGTGAGCCACCTATTCCAAAGGTTTGTCTAAGCAAAAACACATTAGATAAGTCTCCAAGGTCCAATTCAAGACCTCATTCTGACCATCTGTTTGAGAATGGTAAGCTGTAGACTTATGCAATCGAACTCCTTTGAATGTGAACAGTTCTTGCCAGAAGGAACTTAAGAAACAAGATCCTTATCACTGACTATAGTAAAGGGCATACCATGCAACCTAAACACAATGTCCAAGAAGCTATGAGCTACAATCTGAGCAGTGTAAGGATGTTGTAAGGCAATGAAATGGAAATACTTACTCAACCTATCAACCACCACTAGAATGACATCCTTGCCTTTAGATTTAGGTAAACCCTCAATGAAATTCAAGTTGATGTCAGTCCAACACCTTTAGGAATGGGTAGAGGTTGAATGAAGCCCGGATAAGCTGAGGCATCATACTTGTGTCTTTGGCATACATCACATCTATTAATAAAGCTCCTAACATCTGTAACCATAATCTTCTAGTAAAATAAGGATTGCAATCTCCTAACGGTAGAATCCCTCCAAGAGCACCCTGAGGTGTAGAATGCGAAAACTGAATAATGTGGTCTGTCATCCGTTGGTCAGACCCCACCACCAATCTTCACTGCCACCTAATCTGAGAGTTAATCCAAGTAAAAGATTTATAAAAATTCACTATCAGCTTAGTGATCAAGGTTTGCAAGGCCTCATTAGAAGCCTAAGATTGTTGAATCTGGCAGAAGAGTGTGTCATGAGGGGTAAGAAAAGATAAGGACAATAATTTTGCACAATGATTTCTAGAGAGAGCATCAACAACTTTGTTGTCCAGTCATTTTTTGTATTCAATAGTGAAACTAAAAGCCATAAGCTTTGAGATACTGGCTACCTGAAAATCAGTGTATAGCTTGCTCCAATAGATGTTTCAATGCCTTTTGATCAGTCCTGACTATGAAGGGTCTACTTAACAAGTAATGTGACCATTTGGTTACAACAAAAACCAATGCCAGTAATTCTCTATCATAAACACATATGGACTGATGTCTAGGGGCTAATGTTTTACTAATATAGGTAATAGGGTGCCCCTGCTGCATTAGGACAATAACAATACCTGTTCCACTTGCATTTGTCTCAATAACAAAGGTTCATCATAATTTGGCAGAGCCAAGACATGAGCAGTCACCAAGGCTTCCTTGAGAGTAAGGAAGGCTGTAATAACTTCTTCATTCCAAGCAAAACTGAAGTAAGTCATGTAGGGATCTGCATATAGTTCCAAATCTTTTGATGAATCTCTTATAATACCCTGCTAGACCAATGAAACCTCTGAGGTGTTTGATGGTAGTAGGTAATTCCCAAGCTTGAACTGCAGATATCTTCTTAGGGTCAGTTGCTAATCCCTTAGCACTAGTAAAATGTCCTAAGTACTCCACTTCTTTGACCCCAAAAGCACACTTAGACGCTTTAGAATACAATTAATGATTCTTCATCAATTCAAACACAGTTCTCAAGTGATCCACATGAACAAACATATTTATGCTATAAACCAAATATCATCAAAGGAAACTAATACTTATATCCTGAGTAGTGGTTTGAAAACTGAATTCATAAGGCTTTGGAATGATGAGGGAGCAATGGTGAACCCAAAGGGCATTACCAAGAATTCATAATGACCATCATGAGTTTTGAAGGCTATTTTATGCACATCAAATTCAGCCATTCTCATTGATGATAGCCAACCCTAATATCAATTTTAGAGAATACCTCAGCACCCCCAATTCATTCAATAAATCTTTAATAATAGGGAATGGGAATTTATCTTTCACACTTACATAA